TATAAACTACACATACAAATATGAAAAAACAAACCGGTTTTAAATGTGTCCATGTCATGGGACACAGGAATAATCACAGAAGCTAGAAACCCCAAATGAAATATTTCACACACATCTCAAGCCTCCTCATGCAACCTTCCCCCTGATGTCTTGGCTGTTATACAAACATAAGACACCACAAACACTCTGTAAGTGAATTTCATACAATTGTCACTCTCAGAACAGACTGGTCACATTATCTTTACAGCTACATAAAGAAACACCAACAACCATCCAAGTCCACTTTGTGCTCACACATACCTCGAGGCATTTTATCTGCTGTGACCCAACATCTCTTGAACTATAGCTGATGAGCTCTGGTTCATGGCTAAACTGCTTTAGCCCTGGCTTGTAGCCAGTAACTAGCCTTAGAAGTGAAGAGGGAGGCCAGTTAACGCCGTTCAAAACACAGGCTGTATTCCAACTTGGTAACATGCACGTGGCCTTTGATGGCTAGTTAACTGCACTACAACCCTGTCTATACACTCGGATCGGACAACTGTCTGACTGCATGTAAAAGGAGTCTGTTCTGTGCGGCAGTCTTCTCACTTTCATACAGCTCACACTGCATGCAGGTTGCAACTTCTAGCAACAACAACAGCAACAACATTTCCTATAAGGCTATACGTCTTAAATTAGAAGGCTGGGCCTGTACCACTGGGCTCTATTTGCAAACAAAAGCTGCTGTGGGTACCTTCTCTGCCATAGCTCACTAGCTTTAGCAGTAAAACAGTAGTAACACATCTGCCTGCAACTGTAATTCTTTGTGGGAGACTCTTGGCTAACACATTGAGTGCAAGGGCAGAGTGTGTGCAAGTAGGAAGTAGGTTGACAGGCAGGTAGGCCATCCAATGGTTTTGCCTAGGACAAGTAAAATTGGTCACACACTGTACATGCTAGTTAAATGAGACAATGTAACTTTTGCAGAACAGCAGCCATGATGGCTTCACACAACAATCACAGCTTAGTGGTAAATGCTCAAACATAGTTTAAGTCAGCAAATTAAATTAATGCAAGCCATACAACTATGCAATGTTGTTGGTAATACCAGATCAATTAAGGCTGAAGCAGCAAAGTGAACTGAACAAGGCTGTGTATTACTGCTTCAAAAATAACAGCCTTACTTTAACACAACTTAGAATCAACTATCATTCAATTAATTACATTAATAATGTAATCATTTTTTAAATGTGCATTCAAAACAATGTTCACTAGAGTACAACAGCCTTCAAATTTTGAGATCATACACTGTCTCTTATGGTAAAAGTTTGGTTTTAGGCCACTAACCTTTATGAAAGAAAACTTAATGGATGCTGATATATAGTTGCTGCTTTGATGCTGATCCATGTTGCCCTGCCTGACTTTTTATCAAATGACCACAACTCTGGCCAACACGTTGATTCTGGGTCTGTGTGTCTCTATGGAGCTTTTTACTTCAGACCACATTGCCTCCACAGACAGACAAAGAGACATACCCTACCTCTGGAGCAAAGTCCCCAGAGTTGCAAAAGCACTGCTGATTGCTCTAGTAAATGTGTGTGTCAGGGTTAGTATGCGTGTGCATGGTGTGCTTGATGCCTTCGTGCTTCCCCTTCCTCTGTGGCTTGACCTTTGGCCTGATCATTTGACCTTTCCAGTCTTGGTCATCCAGATGTGAAATAGACTTGTGTGTGTGTGTGTGTACATGTGAATGATAATACATCTGTTTGTTTCTTCTCTTATTTCTGCCTCTTATTATTGGCCTATCTGCTCTCACTTTAAATCTGCACAAAAATGTCTTTGTCAGTATGGCTGCTCTTTCATTCTGTGTTTCCCAGATTCCTTGCCCCCTCTGCAGAGGACCAGAGGAACTGTATCCTAGCAGGGACTTACACAATTCCTAGTTATCTAAGGAACGGATGGAGGTGACCGGCAGGCAAACTTACTTAAACCACAATACAATGATTTAAGTTTTTAATGCTCAGGCAATATTTTTAGACAATAACCAACCGCTGTTCAAGTAAAGCTTTCTGTTACACGTGCACTTCATTTCCTTTCACATGTTTGTCAGGATCTTATTAATAGCACTCTAAAATATACACAGGAACAATTTAAGAGACTGAGTGGAAGGTTTATCATCGAAACCTTTAGCAGAGAGAAGACAGAGCATGCTGGTTTCTGTCACAAATCACATGTGACTGATGCAATCACTGACAAATTTCTCTTTAGCAGACTCATTCTCATAAATTGATTACCTTATTTTTTTAAAGGGCAGATCCTGCAAGTTTGATGCTTGTGGCCACATTGTAAGCCCATGTACAGTATGTTAAACTACTGTGAATGCCATAAAATCAAGTCCCTCTATTTCTCCTTACATCTTTCTTCCTTGCTTTCTATTTGAACTCGTTGGGTCCCTAGTACAGCACACAGGAACCCCTTTTCGTCTCCTCCCATCCCTCTCTCTTTCTCTCCTTCCTCTGTCTCTTTCTCTCTCCCCCCTGCTAGGATCCCCACAGCTGCGCGGACCAGGTGCGTTCCGCCCCGACACACACACACACACACACACGCACACATATAGACGTGCACAGAACAGACACACACTCACACCCTTACACCCGCCAACGGACGCAGCAGGAAATGCCTAATACCAGTTTTAGAATGATGCCACTATGCCAGCTTGACAGGGAGGCAGCGAGATCTGTCACGAGAGAACGCAACAGAGAGGTCGAGAGAGAAAGCGAGACAGAGATGGGGAGCAGCAACTTACAGATAAAAGTGTAAAATGAAAGAATGAGACAATTGCTGTATCTTTGCCCGCTATGTTTCTAGTTTTAAGTCAAGACAGTTGACAAAACTTAAAATCTCTGAGCTCATAAACAGCATCTACACTCGGCCCGTTTCACTCTTCACAGTTGTCCATTTCCAGCACTGGATATCAACACATGCAATCTCTACTGGCACAGCCAAAACATATCCAGCTAAACCTCTCTCCAGGGATCCTCAAGTAAAATGGACCTTTGTGTGTGCCACTGTGCACGCATGTGTGACTCTACGTGTGGGTGGATGCACATGTGTTTTTATAAAAAAAAGAAAGAAAAAAAAAGTACCAGTTATTTTGGTCTGTGGCTCACCACAGCTCACACTCTCCCTTGTCTTTTTACTCATCTCATATGGCCCCAAGAGAAGAAGGGGGAAAGAGCGCGAC